GAACACCTCACACTCTCTGTGAACACCAACACTGACTCACATGCAGCTGCTCATCAGGCTCCTGCTCTGTAGACAAACTCTGTCTCTGTGGTTTCAACAGAAGACGACGTGTTGTTCAGTCCTGCAGACAGAGGACAGAAGGTTCAGGCTGATCCAGTTTCTTCAGGCCCTCCTGACCCCTGACTGCTCTGAGCACTGCTGCTATATTTACTACAAGCACTCTGACATCTGCTCTGGGTCCTAACGCTGCTCATATTCACTACTGACAGGCCAAACAGGTGGAAAACGGAGGCAGTGAAGCAAAACTGCAAACCACATAGCATTCCACTGAAGCCCAAGAAGAAGTTCAGTTATATGTTTGGTTTTCATGATTGAAACCACTGTCACAACAATTGCAGATTATTTTTCTGTCTTCTGTCACTGAGCTTCAGTTGTACAGTAATGGTAACTTTATTCCTTTATACCTTTTCATATTATAGTCCACAATAACAACAACAAAGTAGCTACAGTCTCTGAACTGACCTTAAAATTGAGTGGACACATGAACAGTTGTCAACAACAATTAGCATTAATAAGTAAGGTCGCTGGTATTTACTGCTGTTCAGTTTGCAGTTCAGTTTTCTTTTCTTCCTTGTAGATGATTCTGCAGTAAAACACTGATTCTGAGTGAATCTCTGATGAACCACAGCAGAAAGCAGAGCTGTTAGGCCATTTTCCTCTTATCTTCTTCATAACCATCAGGCTGTAAGACTTGTTAGCACTAGACTCACCAGGAGCTGTGAATCCTCTGTGCAACTCTGTAGTGTTAGTTTGTTGTTTTTTTTTTACTTAAAAAAATCTGAGCATTTCAGCCAGACTTGACATTTAAATTTTTTTTTTAATTATATGACATTTTAATTCAGTTATTAGTTTTGTTTATGTACACATGGATGTTTTTAGTGAATGTTCTGCTTTTTGTTTGAAGAAAAAGAACCTTTATTTTATTGTAACTCGTACAACGAAATTTTGTGTGGAGCTGAGGGGCTGTGTGCATACGCAGCCGCCATCACGGGGGCCCAAGGACACTTCGACATGTGGATGCAGGCACCAAGATTCAGACCTTCAACTTTCTGGTTGGGAGACAACTGCTCAACCCACCGCACCACTGTCGCCCCAGTTTGCCAGTTAGAGTTACTTTCCTGACTAAGATTTTAATTAATTTCATAATTTTACAAAGAATTATGAAATACATTGGTTTGTTAAAGTATTCACCAGGAACTAGAAAAATTATTCAAAATTAAATAGCTCCACCTCAACAAGTTGCAAGAAGTCACTAGCTTGCAACTCCTGTGGCTAGATTGGTAGTATTTTAAAACAACTATATGTATGTAATTATATACAGTAAATGGGGGTGAAGGAACTTAAACAACAAAGTGGAAGTATATGTAAAACGGGTAGTACTGGAATATACTTTAAGTTCCTTCACTCCTTGTTTATATGTTAAATACAAATGGGTTGAAAAATACTTTAGTTAAATGTCGTAGTGGTGAGTAAAAAAACAAAAATTAAGTAAAGTGCTATCATATCTAAAGGTGAAAATAAGAGCTGACTCACATTTTCTACTGGGACTCCTTGACGGGTAAATCCCAATTCCCTTATTTGCCCATTCCTCACGCTTCAATCCCTGCTTGACCTGTAAATTGTTATGGTCCACCATCTTAAAGGATGTCCCACAGCTCATATTCCTGCTCCAAGGAATGAAGATTGAAGATCGATGCTAAGCCGCCAAAGACCTTGCCAGGCTTAGGGTCCTAGTGCAAGCCTGTACTGTCACTGACTGTATACAGTTTTGAGTCACAGCTTATTGGCTGTACCGTTTAGATTTCTCCTAATTACGTCAAATCAGTTCTTATTCTAGTTTTATTCTACTTTACTCTATTTTTGTTCCTAAATGTTATGGCACCCAATACTAGGTGAGAGAGAACCGTATTTCGATTTTCTGTATGTCCTGCACATATGGTGAATTGACAATAAAATCCTTGAACCTGAACCAAGTGACTACAAAAGGTTCTGTTTACACATCTTAAACCTGACAGAGAAATTGCAGACATATTTTCATGTTTTACTTTTTAGTTCTGTATTAACGTCTTTGTGTATTATTATTTTTTGTTAATTACGTGACGTAAAATATCTTTGAAATGAGGCGAAACAGATGGACATTCGCAACTCATGGCGGAACTTAAAGCTTATACGTTAACGCTGTCGGAATTTCATGGTGGGACATCCGGAGGAAGTAAAGCAAAGCGCTCGCAGCGTTAGCTTAGTCCACGTGTGGGGCTAGTAGAGGACGGTGCTGTCTTTCCTATGTCGTCTTGTTGCAGTTAAAGCTTTTATTTGTAACAAATCAACAATGTCTTCAGTTCAGCATCTGAGAGAGTTCGTCACCGAGCGACTAACTGCTGCTGCAGCAGAAATATTCGGAGTCTTTGAGAAAACTATGATCGAGTACGAGGAGGAGATCGATCGTCAGCGCAGACTGCTGGATGTCGTTTGGAAACCAGAAGTAAAGCTACACAGAATAGGTCTGTAAAGCCCGAATTATCTTAAAGTAACATGCGAGAAGATTGCTGATGTTATTTACATGTTTTGTAAAGCTCGTGAGTGGGAAAAAATGCTTGTATCTAAATATTTATGCACACCTTAAATCCACACTGCCAAGTACAAACCAGCATTGTGAGTAACTTAGATTTTTTTCATGGAAACGTAGTAACAAATACACATGCGTAAAGCTATTTTTCCAAATGTACAGTGCTTGGTTTCACAAAGGCCAAACCTGCAGTATGCGTGCAGATGTTGGTTTCATATTTTCCAGTTTCATTCTGTGGATACAAGCCACCTCACAAACCTTTTTCTTGTATCTTTCACATGTGGGTGGGAGTAAACAGAGAGGGGGAGTTCTCCTCTCCCGCACACTATATAATCTAACTAAATCTGTAGCTGGGTAGAGATATGGAAAATTGATAAGACTCATGTAATGATCCGAACATCCTCTACATCAATTTACATGTAAAAAAGCGATTGGGACCTTAAACAGCCCTCTTGTCTCAGTTTTCCTCTCATCACATCAGTGACCTGTTCCTTCCTTTGTCCCTCCAGAGCTCCCACAGCAGTATGTCTGTAAGGAGGAGAAGGTTCTGGCTGAGAGGAACTCCAATCTGGTCCAAGAGGATCCAGGGCCTCCACCGCTTAAAGAGGAACAGGAGGGAGAGCAGCTTGGACTGAAGCAGGAGACTGATCCCTTTATATTGACTCCTACTTATGAGAAAAGTGGCCACAGTGAAGCAGAACCAACCAGTGACCAGCAGCTCCTCTCTCACAGCCCTGCTG